TTTTTTTTTTTTTTTTTGCTAAGTTTAATGGAGTTCTAAATGGGAAAGTTCTATTGTATTACCTCTGGGTAAAATTTTTAAAACCTTGATCCTATTTTAAGAGATGACAGGATTCAGTCCAGAGGTTTTTTTCTTTAAATGGAAAAGAAGAATTGTCTTACTCTTACAAAGAGGTATTAATCTGAAATATTCTCGGACTCTTTTTTGAGAGAATAAACTCAGAGCATGGTCAGAACATAATTCAGTTGACTCAGTCATTTCATATATCCGAAGGTGACAGGTTCACCACACAAAGTGTCATGTCTATGCATTTCTCTGATAAACACTTACTTACTGTACTTACTGTTTACACTCTTTTACTTTTTTGCTGCACAATGGATAATGGGTAGATGCATTTGGAAGTAGTGCTTCTGAACCCCAACCTGCACCTCAGGCTGCTTCTAGTTCATCAGCATCGGCAGACCTACTAGCTGGTAATTAATTCATTAAAATAAAATGGTATTTTGTGGAAGTTAAGTTTTGATATATTTTTATAAGTTACAGATCTGTAAACTTCAACATGCATGTATTCTTTCCCTTTTGAGACATAAAACTGAAAAACAAGACACTGTATAATAGAAGGTTATTTCCCAAGATTGTATAAATACCAATAGTAAAATCACAGTTGTATACAAGTCACCCCTGTGGCTCCTTGGATGCTCTTAAATGCCTTACTTTCTTTAATGTTAATTTTATTTTTGAGAGATAGAGAGACACACACACAGAGTGTGAGTGGGGGAGGGGCAGAGAGAGGGAGACAAAATCCAAAGCAGGCTCCAGGTTCCAACCTGTCAGCATAGATAGAGCTTGAGGCGGGGCTCAAACTCACAGTGAGATCATGACCTGAGCTGAAGTCAGACGCTCAACTGACTGAGCCACCCAGGCGCCCCAAATGCCTTACTTTCAGTCATCACATTTCTTTTTGTTTACAAAAGAGGTAATATGCTTATGTAGCAAATTTTATCTTGTATTGCCTGTGCCCATTTTTTTTTTTTTTTAAAGAAATTTGTGTGGAAAGATACCATTATGTTTGTCAACTGATTCTGTAACTCCAGGATAAAGTATTACAGATTTCCACCAGGGTTGAAACTGTTGCTACCTATGCCACTTTTTTTAACTAGCTGTTTGTTTGTTTGTTTGTTTGTTTGTTTGTTTTTTAATCTGAAAACTTCTGGAGAGCTCTCAGTTCAACAGGGCCATAGTGTGGCATAGACTGACACAAGATGTCTAGGATTATTGCTTATTGCCAGGATGGGAAAGATGGAATAGCAGGGAAGATTTCAAAGACTCAAAGATAGTAAAAGCTAACTGTCAGCCTTCCTTGGAGGCAGGGAAAAGTATGCTTCATGTTAGCCAGACCTAGAAATTGCTATTTTTACAGGCAAAGCATTTGCCATTTGCAAGACCACAATAGTAAGTTTGAGGCTCAGGTTATCAGTCAAACTCAAAAGACACTGCTGGTTTACCTCATTCTGACTTCACTTAGAAGGTTACATAACACAAAGTGCAGCGGTAGCATCATAGAGGCCTCAGACACTCAGATTCAGCTTCCAATGTTCCTCCTCAGTCACCACAAGGAATGCATTTTGGTCATATGGTTGGCAAGGGATTGATGTGTGTGTGGGTCACATCAGCACAAGGACGTTGCCACGTTCAGAGTCTCTCAGCTTAAATTCCCTGCTAGTCATGTTGCACCTGAAACAGTGACTAGGTCTTATTTTTTCATGTAATGAACAATCCTGTACAGGTGTAGCAGGCATAGAACATTCATTCTTGGGTTAGTAATGAGTAATGACTTCATTAAAGGACCCTCATCACCTTTTAGAATTGTAGGAAGTTTGATATGAAGTCAATTCATTTTTCGGTAATTTTTTTTAATGTTTATTCATTTATTTTGAGGAAGAGAGAGAAAAAGCAGGGGAGGGGCAGAGAGAGAATCCCAGGCAGGCTCCGCACTGTCAGCACAGAGCCCAACGTGAGGCTCCATCCCACGACGGTGAGATCATGGAGGTCAGATCTTTTCTTAAGAGGCCCGAAAGGATAATCACAGCCTAGCTGTTGACGCTTTCCTTCCATCAGTCTTTCAGACTGGTTATTTAACAAACTTTCCCAGGGGCAGTAGCAGTTCTTTTGTGTCTTTCCCACTCTCTGCAGACTACCCTGGTTAAATATGACACTCTTGTTGGCTGAATCCACTTCATATTAGTGACCACCAGCTGGTATTTTGTGAATGGTGAAGAACCAGTGTTCCACCGTAATGTTGCTGTGCACTTTGGAACCTACAAATATGATAAGAGGCAGTGCACTTAACACACATCACAGCTGGTTACCTGGGGAAAAAATACTGGCTCACCTGGGTTTCCTCCTGGCCTGGGTGTTCTTCATAGCAGCTTCAAATGGGTCACAGAAGCTTTTAAGCTCTTACAAAACCAATAACCTTAATTCGGGTTTTCAAAGTTCAGCAATAGGTTTTATTTTAATAGGCCACAGAAATAGCATAGTTTCCAGTGGTTATTTGGGGGAAATGACGTTGTCAATTTTCAAAAAGGAGATTACTGGAGCACCTGGGTGGCTCAGTCAGCTGGGCATCCAACTTCAGCTCAGCCCATGATCTTGCAGTTTGTGGGTTCAAGCCCTATATCGGGCTCTGTGCTGATAGCTCAGAGCCTTCAGCCTACTTCAGATTCTGTGTCTGCCTCTCTCTCCCCCTCCCCCACTCACGCTCTGTCTCTCTCTTAAAAATAAACATAAAAATACTGTTAATAAATAAAAGATTACTGATTATAAGCCTTTTGCTTTGCAGTTATAATTAAGGTTTGCAGTTATAATTAAAGTTATGGCATGTGAAATCAAATGTTCTGGCTTTTTGCAGAATTCTCAGAAGTCTTTAAAACACAATGTTGCCTTCCAGTTCCAAGTTAGAAGTCAGTGGCAGAGCCAAGAGATGTGATCCTGGGGGTGAGATAGGGTCTAAAACACACGTGGAACAAGCAGGAATAGTTTTGTCACCCACTGCCAAGTGCAGCGTCGGGTACCTGAGCCTGCACAGCTTCGTATCCAAGGAGGTCGAACAAGGAAGTACACACAAAGTGCAAGTTAGAACTCACCAGAAGCAAGCTTGAATTTCTCGATTGTGTCATCCATCCTGAAATCTTAGTAAAATGAGATAGAAAGGGAGAAAATTGGTGATGAAAGTGACAGTGTCATTTACATAAGTTTTATTGACTGTACACTTCCCATTTTTTCCAGTGCATCATCTTGTGACCTCTTCAGTGATGGGAAACGTATTTTGTGCACATTTTTTCCTTTCTCTATTTTTTTATTTAAATAAATGAATTTTTAGTGTAAGTAGGTGTAAATGGGTTTTAATGTCTAGCTTGTTCTACAGACAATTCTTATAATTTAATCTGTACGTATCTGGGTCTGATTTACTTGGCCTGAAGTCAACTATTCTTTTACCTTATATCCTGATATAAGAGACTTTTAAATTCTAATTTCTCTAGATCTTAAGTATTTGGACTGGTTTTTCATACTTCTGTTTTGCTTATTTAGAAACATTTCTCATATTTGTTCAGGTAACACAGCAAGAATCCATGTTCTCATTGAAGAATATCATGGAATATTAATATAATTTTGTACTATGAACTAGAAGCAAATTTCCTCGCCAAAAAAACCTGCTAAAGTACACATTATAAAATCCCAGTTACATTTATACATTAAATCCAGCTGACAGCAGCTATTTCAGAGTTTTCAGACTGCCCAGACATTTCTGTTGAATGAATATCAATGGTAGAACAAATATTTGGGGTACTATGTTATGATAATTTGCAGTGAGGCTTAACATGTGTGTTATACTTGTGTGTGTGTGTGTGTGTGTGTATAGGGAGAGAGCAGCCAAGTCCACAATAAAGAGGAAGCTTTTTTTTTTCCCTAAAGATAAATGAGCCCAATCATAGATAACAAGGAAATCCACAAATGTCATGTTTAAAGTAAGAATTTGAACCAAAAACAAAAACAAAACAAAGCGGGAGGGAAAGTTGTATTTCATGAGTCTCTAGAATCTTGAATTACTGGCTTTTGTTAATAAGACTGTTTTGTAAGAGAATAAAAAAGAAAAATAATACACAGACTCAGTAATGGAAGGTGTAGACTCTTTAAAAGTAACGTTGGTTTTTGAACAGGGCTCTTGCTCCCCAGATTTTTTTGAGGGAATAAATTTACATGTAAGTCACAGGGTAAATGTAATAAATATGTAGTATAATTAAATGTTAAAATGATCTTTAGAATTTTTAAACCAAAAATTAAGAATCATCTCAAATTGGGGGGAAAGCTTTGTCAAAAATTGATATGTAATTTAAAACTAGAAAAAAAAAGGTCAAACGGACAGTCTTTTAAATTGGGCATATCTCTCATAAAAACTGGCTATTTTTTATTCTAATTTACTCTTCTAGAACTGTCAAATAATACCAACTCCAGAACTGAACTATGCATGAAATATCATCTTAGTCGTCTTCTGCCCCTTGAGTAAAAATTTCAAGTTCTGTTTGGTGTACCCAGAATGGTGAAACTAGACAATATTCTAGAAGAGACAACTGTTTTGGCCAAAGAGGACAGACTTAAAGAATAATCTTTCTAAATCATTGAGATTACTGATAAGATATAGATATTATCCATAGCTCAGGTGGAATCTTACTAGAAACTTGAAAGTTAAGTTTCTATCAAACAAATGGAAATATTATTTCATACAGTGAGTAATAAAGCTCTCAAACGCCTCTTCAGATATACCAAATGAAAATATAGATGTTTGAAATATATAGATTTCTGGATGACAGATGTAAAAGTGGATGATTAAGAGAGATTTTCGGGGCGCCTGGGTGGCGCAGTCGGTTAAGCGTCCGACTTCAGCCAGGTCACGATCTCACGGTCCGTGAGTTCGAGCCCCGCGTCAGGCTCTGGGCTGATGGCTCGGAGTCTGGAGCCTGTTTCCGATTCTGTGTCTCCCTCTCTCTCTGCCCCTCCCCCGTTCATGCTCTGTCTCTCTCTGTCCCAAAAATAAATAAAAAACGTTGAAAAAAAATTAAAAAAAAAAAAAAAGAGATTTTACCTAACTTCTGAGGTTGACAGCAAGCAAGAAAACCATTTTCTTCCATTATAGTCACAGTTCTGGGGTGACTGCCCATAAATTTGTACTAGTGTAGGAATGGGCCACATCCTACGTTTAATTCTAAAGGCAGGGAATCATACAGGCCAGTCTTTGAGGCCATTTGTAGTTTTTGTATTCTCTGTTAACCACATGACATAGATGACTTTTTAGCAGAGCCGCAGAGGTCTTTAAATTGATTTTTAAAATATAAAAATGTTCAATGTGGAGTTAATAACTAATAATAGCCACTAAATGAGAAGGTCTACAGAGAACCAATTCTTTCATACTCTGTGGGGTTGGGAGACAGTCTGAAATGTGTCAGACAAAAGACTCTCAGGCTGTTAATCCTAGAAATACTATCTCAGATTGATCTTAGTAAATAGAATGTGTTAATAACTGACTATATTACAGAGTAATTGAGATGGCATCATCTTTAACATAAAAGAAGACTACCAGTAGTTTTAATTTTTTACTCTCCTGACCCAACTGATCTATTATATTGACTGTGGCCATCAATTTTGATATATCTGTTAATAGAACTTCCTTAAGTGTATAGGCTGTTTCCCTTAGAAAGATAGATTCTAAGACTAAGTATCTGTGACAAAAGGCAGTGTGTCTGTAGATGGTTGAGCACTTGGAGATAGTTGGTGATTCATTATAGTGTAGGACAGTCCAAATATGCCTGCAGGATGTCTGGAAGCCTATTGATTATTAGCTTAAATTCCATAGAATATCTTTCTTAATGTAACTTAGAACCATATAGAAAGAAATATTAGTGGTGTGAGTTTTCTTACCTCTATTCCAGGGCTCTAAAAGTTTTCACTTAACAGGAGGAGTTCCCCTCATTAATATCTATAATTCATTTAAAGTATAACAATAGATTTTTTTCTTTAAGATAATCAGTTGGCTATTTTATAGCACTTTATAGCTTTTCAATTAGTTTAGGTTTATGAGGGCACATACTGAGCATAATGCACAGAACTGAGCATAATGGGAAAAAGTCATCTTTCTAGATCTCTGTCAACTTCGTAAGCCACAGGAAGAGTACAACTCTGATGTTACTCCTGGCTGTGGAAATGAAGCGTGTAGTATTGTGGTGAAGAACCCAAGCTCTGGAAGATTCCTGTGTGGAATCCTCTCTCTTACTTCCCATCATTTGGCCTTGGGCAGATTATTTAACCTCTCTGGCCTCAGTATTTTCATCTGCGAAACTTCATAGAGTTGGGGTGAGGATGAAATGAGCTAATGTATGTTTTGGGTTGAACAATACAATCCTGCTATTTTTGTAGGACCAAAATGGTCAAATATTGACATTTCATATGGTTTGTATGGATCAACCTTTAAAAATTCTTAGGGGCGCCTGGGTGGCTCAGTCGGTTAAGCGTCCGACTTCGGCTCAGGTCATGATCTTGCGGTTTGTGAGTTCGAGCCCCGTGTTGGGCTCTGTGCTGACAGGCCTGGAGCCTGCTTCAGATTCTCTGTCTCCCTCTTTCTCTGCCCCTCTCTCGCTCATGCTCTGTCTCTCCTTCAAAAATAAATAAACATTTAAAAAATTAAAAAATAATAATAAAAGTAAAAATCTTTAGAACTTGGTGAGCCCCATGACAGTGTTAGCTTTACCCTTTCTTAAAGGTTTAAGCTTTCTCGAAGAAGGGGCTAATTTTTTTTTCATTGTTTATTCACCTATGGATGTGATCTGCTTATGTTATGAAACTCAATAGCACTAAGTACATGAGCCCTGTGTTGTAAATGCATGTTTTTCCCTTTCTACTACTGAATATTGGGTGGATATGTTAACTTCCCTTTGCATCACTTCTAGTGATAGACAGGATTGAATCAGATGATCCAAGGCTTTCTCCAACACTAATATGCTATGATTCTACAATAGTTTTCTCTTCTTGGCCAAGTTTTAAGAAACTGAGATTCGAGAACAATTCTCTCCGCATTCACCTATATCAAAGAGAACCACACCAAAGAAAAATTGCCTAAATTAATCACAGCCATTTTCCAACTTGAGGTGTGGTATGTTTCAAGACACTCAGCATTAACACAGCCGTCAATCTCCTTAAAACCAAACGATCCTATCCACAAAAATAATTACTTCTCACCCATCCTTGCTTCATAGTATTCTTAAAGATCTAGAGAATGTCTTTTCTTCAATGCTTATGTTACTAAAATCCTAAAGGTCACGTCAGGTAGCCACTGTGAACTTTAAAGACCATCCTCTATTAGGTAACAGTTTTCTGAGTTGCATTGTTTTCATACATCTATAAGGAAAGCCTAAACTTGTGTCATTATCAATATCCAGGAACAACATGACTTGAACCTTATTGTCTGCTTTAGAAAATAGTAATCGGAGAATTTCAGTGAAAGTCATTTTCAGTATTATAAACTGGTTTTACAGAATGTAAGCTTAAGGATTTTTTAAAGCATTTGTTATGTTTTTGCAAGAAGTTTCCGAAAAAGAAAAGATGCGGCTAGATTAGAAGGGAATATTTACACCCAAACTAAATATAGAAAAGACTTCTGGAAGTAATAAAATTCTTTAATAATAGAGCATCCTCTATTAAGAAATTGCTGCCTTCTCCAGTTGTATGTTTCATAAAGAAGCAATACAGAGAGAGCTTTGCTTCTGCTTCTATCTGTTGAGAGAAATTATTTGCTTCCAGCCTTCAAAAGATAAATAATTTGAATTTTGGTTGCTTTACAAAGTGGCCTCTGATTTTTCCCCACCTTTTGTATTCAAAAGTGTCCTTATTCAGTAAACATTAATCCAGTGTTTTAGGCATTGTGCTGATTAGTGAAAAACAGGAGGAGACACAGTTCCTGATACCAAAAAGCCATCCCCAGAGTGGGGTTTGGGGGTGGAAATAAAGACATATGATGGGAATAGGATGAAGATATGTATCAGATGCAGAGGGCACAGAGGCAGAGCATGTAACTAACTCACTTGGACTTGGGGTGGGAGGAGTGGACATAGCTGTGCCTGATAGTAGTGGGTGACAGTATCAGTCCAAGAGGCCTTCCTGGAGTAGGCATCTGAGTCACCATGATGGTGTTATGGATGCAATCTAGTTTGCAGGGAAGTGGCAGGGAACAGAGACAGAAGAGCTTGATTACTATGCAAAGGAATCTGCGTTAGATGAATCTGAAAGTTATGGAGAGCCATTAAAGGACACTATTTAGAGAAGTAACTTTGTCAGCATTTTCCACTCAGAAAGATCACTCTAGCTGCACTGCAGAGCCTAGATTGGAGGAGGTCCAGACTAGAGGCAGGAAGCCCCTCTGGATGTCTATTGATGAATCCTGAGAGCTGAGTGAGGGAAGCCCACACTTAGCAGTAGCAGCAATGGGATAAGAACATGTATGAAAGATGTTAAGAAGGATTTGGTGGCAGAGTGCATGAATATTTTTATGATTTATATTTTATTATTATACTTAGCCAGTGTGTACAACTGAGCATTTTCTAGCTCCCTGATACTGTGATTTGAAGAATCAAAATTTTAATGTATTGAAATTATCTCCATTTGAACCCTATTGGGGCCTTCTTAGCTCTGTGTAGCTCCATTGTAATGATAGATTTGGTTGCCCCAGGTTCTCTCAGCCAGGGTTGAGATATATTCTTATGTGCTATTTCATTTCTAATTAAATTAGATCTCATTGTATTAATGACCTGTATTAATGTCTCATGTATTATGACAAAACCAGCAGTTTCCAGAGGGGAGATTGGGGGTGCGGGGCGCGGTGGGGGGAAGATAGGTGAAGTAGCTGATAGGGATTAAAGAGAATACTTATCACGATGACCACTGACTAATGTATAGAATTGTTGATTCACAATATTATATACCTGAAACACTAGTAAAACACTGAATGTTATACTTGAATTTTAGAAAATCAGTAAAAATCATTTAAAAATACATGACAGATATCAAAATATGTGAAAAAACTTCAAAAAAACTAACTTCCAGGTTTCATTGACTTCTCATCTACCTGCATTCGATTCCTTCTCAGTCTTCTGTAACTCTTCCTGACTCTGTTTTTCTTGCCTTTACCTACGTATAGTTGTTTCTGCTTATATTTTTCTGGAACTGTTATTTTCCCCCCAGGATTTGGGGGTTCTTTTATGGCCCCTTCTCCATCACCGATGACTCCAGCTCAGAATAACCTGCTGCAGCCCAATTTCGAAGCAGCTTTTGGAACAACGCCTTCAACTTCTAGCAGCAGCTCCTTTGATCCATCAGGTGAGGCAGTGACTTTCAAACGTTCTTTGCGTTTGTTCTGATTATAAAATATACCACCTAAGGTTAGTGTGATATCAGAAAACTCATAAGCAAATACTGAGTGGCGACCTGGTTTTAAAACTTTAATAAATCTTTTATTCTGTGTTTTAAGTAAATATTTCAGTACATTTTAGAAGATTTAAGGATAACCTGTAATCCTTTTCTGTGTTTCTGTTTTAAATTTTTAGCAGAGATCTAACGGCACACACACCATCTGTTTGCATGAGCTTACGTGCACATGGTTTAGAGACAGTTAAGGGAAAACAAACATTTTATGCAGTATCTGAATGTGTGGACACTTCCAACTGCTATTGCTTACACCCTCTGAAGCTTGCATGGCCCTCGGTTTTATGAAGTTGAGACACAAATAGTATTCTTTGCCTGCCTTTAATCTTTCATCCTGCTGTCATTTTGTTTGTATTCTCTTCCATTCTACTCTTCCCATGCTGGGTCCTTACTACAAATTTTCAATTGGTGAGTTTTTGGCAATTAAATGTGCTTCAGAAACACCCTAAATATATCCCCTGCCTGACAATTTGGTTGCTTCTATTGCCAGTGCCTAGTTGAATGCTGTCCCTTTCCAATTTAGAATTACCGTATGGTAGTGTTTGTGGTAAATATTCGAAGTTCTTTAACAAAAACTACCCACAAAAATTTTGACGCGGATAAGATATTAGCAACAATTTATGTAGATCTTTTGAGTCTGCATTTTGAATGGTCTTTCTGTATTCGAGGAATGATACAAGTGGTAACTGGTTACATAGTGATTAGGAAACATCAATAATAGAATGATTTCTAATGTTTAAAATAGTTTTTCCCTTAAACAATCCTTGAAAGTTAGAACCTAAATTTGATTACTATAATGAGGAGGGGGAGGGCCACAATTTTTTACTTCTAAAATATGGTCAACTGTTTGTCATATACTCATTACTAGGTACTAACCATTAGATCAGGTTTTATTCCACCACTAACTTCGTAAGAAACTAGGAGATCTAGCCTTATTTCTCATTTAGAATTGTTTTAAAGATAAGCATTATAGGAAAACAAAATAAGCATTGTAGGATCTGAGAGTACATTATCTAGGCTTTGCTGTAAATTACTACCATTTTCAATAAAAAAGTATTTTAGTGATTGTTTTTAATAAGAGTACCACTTATTGAGTGCCTATATAGAGCAAGCATTATAATAAAGACATGACATATATTATCTAATTTGATCTTGACAACTGGACCATGTGGTAGTAGTATTCTTCCCATTAGTTTTCAGAGGAGAAAACTATAGCTCAGACAATGATTTTCTCAAATTCACACAGTTAGTGAGGCATGCAACTAAAGTGAGCCTAATTCCAACCCCAAAATCTGTGCTCTTTCCTGTACATTACACAGATTTTTTTTCCATCTTTATTTATGTTTACTATTATTTCTGTACTTTATGGGTAGACATATGTAGACATGTTCTTCTACGTGTTACAGTCATAAAAAGTGTGAATTACATGCCTTCTTTTGTAAGATTGTACATTCACTTGTTTTATAGTTTTTCAAAAGACAATTTCCATTTAAGTTTGCATATGGCCTTATTTTTTCAATTATTCTGACTCTGGTCTATTTGATTTTTAGTGTTTGATGGTCTAGGTGATCTACTGATGCCAACCATGGCACCAGCCGGGCAGCCTGCACCCATCTCAATGGTACCCCCCAGTCCAGCCATGGCAGCAAGCAAAGCCCTTGGGAGTGACCTTGATTCATCTCTTGCCAGCTTAGTAGGCAGTGAGTAATACAGTTGTTTGTTGTTGGGTTTTTTACTGTATCATATGTGAATTTTTGTTCTCTATCCTTTCGTATATATTTGTTTCTGGATTCACTTAACGGGTGGGTATATCAAGGAGCGGACAGAAATTCTTAATGTTCTACCCAGTACAGTTCCTTGAAGGATAGACAATTGTTGTGCCGTTGTTTCACAAGCAGCACCCATGCCGTTTTTAGTATAAATTACTAAAGGGATAGAGAGCATACGCAAGCGTCAAACCAAGTACATTATGTATACTAAGTACTTAATTTTTCATTTCACTTGGAAATAAGAACACAGAGTAACTTAAATACTGAAATAATGACAATTGACCATCCATGTGAATTTTGGTTACTCATTCAACAAATATTTACTGACTACCAAGCACTCTTCCAGGCTCTAAGGCTAAATCAGTGAACAAAACAGGTATAAATTTCTGTTCTTACGGTGCTCAGGAAGGGGAGAGACAGTTTGAAATAAGTAAGTTCTGTAGTACATGAGGTCATAAGCATTCTGGGGAAGAAACAGACCGGGCGAAGAGGAGTTGGGAACACTGCAGAGGGGAGTTGGGTTCCCTGAGAAGGTATATTTTGAGCAAAGATCTGAAGGTAAAGGAATGAACCACATGGATCTGAGGGAGAATATTTGCAGGCAGAGAAGATAGCCAGTGCAAAGGCATTGGGGCAGAAAACTGCCTGTCATATTTAAGGAATAATAAGGAGACCAGAGGCTAGAGATGGGTAAAGAGAGAGTCCTAGGAGATGAGGGCAGCTAGTATAAAGACTTGCCTTTCCTTTTAACCCTGAATTTGATTCTTTATTAAGGTGAATGGGTTCACACTGCCGATACCTTTCACTTTTCTCAAGGCTTTGGCAGATCCTTGATACAGACTTTTTTTTTTTCCTATGCATTATCCAATGGACATATTTTTCCCATTCATTGTCCCTGGTGTGGGCATCCATGAAAATGCTTTGAGGACACCCATGGAGAGATGATTTTAGTATTTGTTCCTACACTAAAATTTCAACTCACTGAAGGACAGTTGGCAGTCGTAACTGCTTTCACTGGCACTGCAATGTATGATCCAGATTCTCCTTCAAAAATAAGGATTTATACCTCCAGCCCCTGAGAGTACAGTTTTGATTGCAAAGGGTAGCAAGAAAGAATATTTTTGAGTAATTAAATTGCTGTGTCCTGTTTATAGTAATGATTACATGAATTCATGTATTTATCAAAATGTATAGAAATATAACAACCTCCCCAAAAAAACCACTGATTTTCATTTTAAGTAAAAGTGAAGTATTTTTTAATAAAATATCTTCCAAAACTGAAAAAAAAAAAAAAGATCTACATACCCCCTATCAGTATTCCAGTTTCCTTGTTTATAGAGCTTGATGAGTTGAACCTAAAATTCGTATGAAAATGCAAGGAAGCCAGAATAGCCAAACATTCTAAGTAAAGAAGAATAACCTTGGAAGACTCACATTTAGTGATTTTAAAACTTACTACAAAGCTATAGTAATTAAGAGAAGTGGTATTGCCTAGGGATGGGCATATACCTCAGTGGAATAGAATAACAGTCTAGAAATAAGCATACATCTGTGGTCAGTTGGTTATCACCAAAGTTGCCAATACAGTTCAATGGGAAAAGAATTATCTTTCCAACAAATGGTGTCAGGATAGCTGGACATCCATGTGCAGAAGGATGGAGTTAGATATCTTGCTTACTGAAAAATAATTAATTCACAGTGGATCATAGAACTGTATGGATCGTAAGTGCCAAAACTATAAAACTCTTAGAAGAAAATGTGTTAGTAAACAAATCTTCATGACCTTGGATTGGATAATGTTCTTAGATATGACACCAAAAGCACAAGCAACGATAGATCAAAATAGATAAATAGAACTACGTTAAAATTAAAAACTTTTGTGCTACAAATGACACTGTCAAGAAATTTTAAAAAATAACCCACAGAATGGGAGAAGGTATTTGTAAAACATATATCTGCTAAGGAACTTATACCCAAAATAAATAAAGAACTCTTACAACTCAATAATGAAAATACAAATAACGCAATTTTATTTTTTTTAAGTTTATTTATTTTGAGAGAGAGAGAAAGTGAGTGGGGGGGAGAGAATCCCAAGCAGGCTTTGCAGGGTTAGCGCAGAGCCCTATGTGATGTCGGGCTCAAACTCACGAACCATGAGATCACGACCTGAGCCAAAATCAAGAGTCGGATGCTCAACCGACTGAGCCACCCAAGTGCCCCCAAATAACCCAGTTTTAAAATGGCCAAATGATTTGAATAGGTCTTTCTCCACAGAAGATATATGTATGGTCAATATGCACATGAAAAGATGCTCCACACCAGTCATCTGGGAAATGCGTATCTAAACCACATGAGAGGGGGCGCCTGGGTGGCGCAGTCGGTTAAGTGTCCGACTTCAGCCAGGTCACGATCTCGCGATCCGTGAGTTCGAGCCCCGCGTCAGGCTCTGGGCTGATGGCTCGGAGCCTGGAGCCTGTTTCCGATTCTGTGTCTCCCTCTCTCTCTGCCCCTCCCCCGTTCATGCTCTGTCTCTCTCTGTCCCAAAAATAAACATTGAAAAAAAAAAAAATTTAAACCACATGAGATATCACTTCTCACCCATTAGGATGGCCATAATTAAAAAAATAAATAAATAAATAAACAAACAAAAACAAAAGAAAAAAAACAGTGCTGATGAGAATGTGGAGACATTGAAACTCTAGCGTTGCTGGTGAAAATGCAACTGTGGAAAGCAGTTTGGCAGTTTCTCCAGACCTGAAACAGTTACCCTTACAGAGCATACCATATAACTAGCCTAGAAGCTCTTCCTATACATCTCTGCCCAGCTTTGCTCAAATCTCACCTCCCTGAGGCCTTCCCTGAACACCCTGTTTAATGCGCATCACCCTCATCCTACCTGACCAGATCCCTTGTGCCCTGTTCTTCCTTTGCTTATTTCTGTAGGCTTTCCTATCACCTTGTAGTAGCCTACATAATTTACTTTATTATTTTATTGTTTTATTCTCCATCTCACTCTATTAGAATGCACATTCCCCTAGGATCAAGATCTTTGTTTTCTTTACTAATGTATCCTATGGGCTTACAACAGTGCCTGGCGTCTATGGAGGCTCAATAAATATTTGCTGAAGTAATCAGTGAATTGAGATTAGAGTGGAATGAGTAAGCCAATTATGTCAGGAGTCCCCAAGACCACCTTCACATTCAGAGATCCACTAGAATTCAGAGGGCTCAGCAGCACATAGTTGTACTCACAGCTAAGGTTTATTACAGCAGCATAATAAAGACACAGAGCTGGATCATTAGGGCAAAAGACACAGGCAAGTTTGGAAGTATCCATATACCGACTTCCTTATGCTCTCTCCTTCCCATGAGGGGAAAAGCATACAAAAATGCAGCAACACGTGTGATATTTCTGCCCAGGGAAGCCCTGTAGAGACTCCACACCCAGGTCTTTTATCGGATGCTGATCATGTAGGCACTCTGCTTAACACAGCCCAAAATTTCAGTCTCGCAGAAAGAAGGAAAGCAGGTGTTCAGCATAAACCACATTGTTTGTACAAACAGTTTAGACACAGTAGCCACCCTTATCATTAGGAAAAGTATTACCGCAGCATGGAGAACAGTTTACTAACTGGGTTCCTAGATGCCAGCCACATAGGCCTTTCTAAGAGAACAGTCTCAAGCGTGCTGTGTTTACTCTTTCCTAGATACCAGCTGACATTAAAATGTGATCCTTAAGTATAATGTGAAGTAAAAGAAAATGTTAGATTTCTGAACATGTTTCCTAACATAGTTTCTCCTTTGTAAAATTGAATACAGTCATTCTTAGGCAAAATGTGGACTTTTTGTAGAACTCTCTTTGATCTTTTAAATGTCATATCATTTAAGCTGAGTATAGAGGTTTAAGTTCTTTTTTCTTTTATCCTTTTATAGATCTTGGAATTTCTGGTACCACATCGAAAAAGTAAGTGTTTTTGAAATTATCTGGTTTTCTTGTGGCAGTGTATTTACATTTATTTGAGATGATTAAATGCATTGGAGTAATAACTCATTCTCGAGCTCAGTAATTTCAAAATTGGTTTTTATTGCATTCTGGACTCTTGTTTTTGTTATTATTCTACTGGAACCTCCAAACTGTTGGCTCTGCAAGGAAAAGGAACAATCTGTTTTGGTCTCCAAGATTGTCACTAAATTATAGCTAGAAATACTTCAGAATTATGGTTTGAATGCTTTAATAGCTTTAAATTCTAGAACACTATTCCTAGCTAACATTGGTTTTTAAAAGTCTGTCATGGAGGATCAATTTTAAGAAAGGATAGAAAGAATGGTCAACGATGTACCCTTTCTTTAGATGCACATTTCAGTACCTTTGAAATTGGGATGCATTTTACAGTAGATATATCTGACAGTCACTGTAAGGCAGGTTGTAGTCATGATGCAGTTGTGTGAAACCTTCTGATGAACCCTCCCACATCTAGAAGAAGTGCCATGATGGATGAAACAAACTACAGATATTTGATAAAGTATAGAGTATTTATGATATTTGGAAGTTTTTGTAACCAGTGAGGAATTTGGTTGAATTTTGTGGCACATTCTTCTATTGGAGGAATGCATGTTCCTCTAGGATCAGGATCTTCGTTTTCTTCACTAATAATCCCAAGTGCTTACAACAGTGCCTGGCATCTATAGAGGCTCAATAAATATTGAGATCCAAACTCTAAATGATTTTTTATCAAATGCTTTTTTATACTGTTATAGATACAATACAGTAAGACTCCTCTATAAGTTTAATTTGTTCTCTTTATTACCACTTGCCTTAAACAGACTACATCTAATCCCAAATAAAAGTATCTAAGGAGCCACACACATTGTTTTCTGAGTAGTGTGTTTTTAATACATGTGTTTGTTTTTTGCGTGCTTGATTTTAGGGGCGACCTTCAGTGGAATGCTGGAGAGAAAAAGTTGACGGGTGGAGCCAACTGGCAGCCCAAAGTCGCCCCTGCAACCTGGTCAGCAGGTGTTCCACCAAGTGCACCTTTGGTACGTAGCCACCAGGGCCCAGGGCAGTGCTGACAATTTGCCAGTTTCCGAGCATGGGACAGAGTGCACTTTGTTTAGGTTTGCTACTGACATTGTACTTCTTCATCCACATTGAGGGGACATAAGCAGGATGCGTGATTTACCAAAATGCGAATTTCATTGACTTTCTATTAATAGATTGTGGCCCATTTTTTTATTTTCATTATTTCAAAATAGTATTTATGCTTCTTTAGATATTACTTCTGTATTTGTACAGTTATGGAAATAACTTTTCAAAATAATTCAGTATCACTGGTAATTATCCATATTTTGCTCCCATTTCTTGCCCAAGTCACCTAATTGTCTTAAGAAGTAATGAAGGGGCGCCTGGGTGGCGCAGTCGGTTAAGCGTCCGACTTCAGCCAGGTCACGATCTCGGTCGTGAGTTGAGGGGCCCAGCGTCGAGACTCTGGAGTGGCTCAGAACGCAGACATTTCTGTTCTGTGTCTCCCTCTCTGCCCCTCCCCGTTCTGCTCTGTCTCTCTGTCCCAAAAAAAAAGTAAATAAACGTTAAAAAAAAAAAAAAAAAAAAAAAAAAAAAGAAGTAATGAAAACTTTTTTTTTCTTACCAGAAAGATTGGGCAGTTTTCTGTTGTGTAAATGGACTTTGATTTTAAAACTCTGTTAATTCTGCTTACCACTTTTTAAACTGAAATACTAATGCCATCTTTATAATATAAACATTTTAGGTAGACTTTATTAAAATTAATCATGCTCCATAAATTAATTTCAATACCTGAATTATAGAATTTAAAACATGTTTTCTTTTGAATAATTTGATAAATAGTAATGTTTTTATATATAAAGTTTTATTATAATTTTATAAATAAGTGTAAACCGATCTGAAAAGGGCCATTTGAACTAAAATTTACCACTAAACAATACTAATACTATTAATCAAACTACAATTTATACTGATGCGGGATCACCGAGCCCAATGGTCAAGAAAGAATTTTTGAGATATTTTACAGTGCAAAAAAGTTGTTTATTGAAGTACAGAGATAGGACCCATGGGCAGAAAAAGCCGCATTGTAAGTGTGAGGAGTGACTGATTATAATAGGGTTTTCTGTCTTACGGAGGGAAGGTGACATTAGGGCTCCAGGAAATTGAGTCTATAGGTTTCTGGAGGTCTGACTATTCTCAAGATTGTGCTTTTCTTGTAAGTCATTAAGACAGTGACAAACTGATGAAGTTTCATGTCCTCCATGACTGTGATCTTTAGCAGTTAACCATTGGCTTTTTCCTTCCTTTGTTCCTGGGCAGTCTTGAGTGCCTGAGAAATGTTAAATATGTCCCTGTCCCACCTTGGGGAGATTTTTGCCCTCAGCTTGCCTTTTGTTATCTCATCAATGAATACCACATATTGACATTAAATTTCACAATTTATATTATCATTACCAAATTAAAGAAACTAATTTTCTTATTCTCTCTAAAAGAGGTCTAAAGAGACCTCATGTGTTGTTCTGAGAAGTTTATACTTTAGTGTATTGCCCTTACCAGCAGGCTTAAACTTTTCATTGTTTTTTTAACAGGTTAATTTCAGAACAGTTACAGTGATAACAGAGTTTAAAGATAGACTGGAGGAAAGCTTGGGTATCTGGCAGATAAGCTGTAGGCTTAAAAAAAGAATAAACAAAAAAGTGGTTGAGAACCACAGGTGAGGGTGGAAAGGAAGACAAGGAAGAAAATCTCAGGTAGAATCCACACAGGGGATCACTGTGAATGAAGCTACAAGACAGTGGTTGCCCGGGTTTCTTAATGGGGCGGTCACTAAACAATTAGGCCATTTAACCAAGAAGCAGAAGGAGGGAGAACTACTTTAGTAATAGTATTAAGTTGGAGACCTTCCTTGGTCAGCACCTCTCCTGAGATCAAGATTTTCACCATACAAGGTTACAGATTCATCAGATACTTAATTTACAGCTCGTCTGCTTCTTCAGGACAACAAGGGTACTCATTATCTGATTAGCAGGCACCATCACTGGGAATGAGATTGCTATTCTCTTTTTTTTTTTTTTAACTCCAAACTCCTTATTTTTATTTATGAAGCAGAAGATGTTAAGTTGTTAGTAATTAAACTCCAGGAAGTAAAAGACAGTACACTTTAACATAAAGTATCCACAACAGCTGTGGAAAGAGAAACGAGACCAACAGAAATAATTTATCAGGAAGGCAGAGTCACATGTTGTTCTGTTTCTTTCTGTTTTTTTGTTATTTTCCTTGACTTTTTAGACAACAATATGAAGGTGGTCAAATGCAGAGTTATTTTATCTTCATTAACTCTAAGTCTTATATATTGTCTATATAAATTTACTGCCATTTACCCATTTACTGCAAAGCTCTTCTTCTATAACAAAGCTCTGGCTTTGCTTTGACTTAAGAAATTATTCTGGCTTAATTACATAAGAAGGCCTCTGGCTTCTTCTCTCCACCCCGTTCTTTCATAAAATGCTGCTTCCGCTTCCCTATTCCTTAAAATATGTCTGAGTCTCTTTTTTTAAGCATATTCAAGCAAAAGAAGAGAGACAACTGAAATAAAACTTCTGCCTCAGAAGCAGCAAAGCAGTGTTTCCGTGTCCTCTGGTAATCTGCAGGCCTCTCCTTTTGAGTAGGAGATGAAAGAGCAGGTGTGAGGGTGAGCATCCTTCTGCTGCCTTCTAAAGTTTCTATTGATAGAGAAGAGCTAAGGTTACCTTCCCAGTTTGTTTCAGATTTCCCTCAACTGCTGCTTGGAGGTACAGCTGTAGAATTTTTCAGATCATAGAACTCAAGTTAGATCTAAAAATCTTAACAGGACTTGAATACTTTAAACATGTCTGATGGCAGGGCTCTGTCGTCATGGCCATCAAGAGCCCTGTGCTTCCAGGATTACTTTTTCCTGTTGTCCAATACTCACTTAAGTTTCCATCCTACAAACTGGGAAGATTCTTGCAGTTCAGAAACATATGCATTTGGCAGGAGGCCACAGAATCCACATTTCTTTCCCTAAAAACAACTAACCTTCGTGTGCCTACATATGAAGCATTCGGTAAAATGTTGAAAAGAAAACAATAATAATAAAAAAGAACCTTAGGACAAATAATATTTGGGGAGTAAATTATTAAGGGTTAATCTGTTCAAGCAAAATGGAAAACTTAGACTATATTTAAACTATTTGACCTATTTATTTCATCAGCAATTTCCACAAGTTCATTTTATTTTGATAACTAACAAAAATCTTTTTTTTTCCATAGCCCGAAGTTCTAATGATAACAATTCTGGTAAATAATACAGTTATCATTGTATAATTCAATCCTGATAAATGATATGATTCTGAACAGGCTATTACCTAACCTGTTGAAATGATGAGTAAGGAGTGAATCTGAAGTATAATACCTGTTTTGTTTTTAAATTTTTTGATAAAATTTACATAAACATTAAATTCTCCATGTTCACAACTTTAAAGTGAATATTCATTCAGTATATATTCAGTGATTTTCAGTATATTTACAGTGTTTTAAAACTGTCACTATTGTCTAACTCCAGAATAGCTCCACCACCCCAAAAAGAAACACAATCCCTTTGAATTCCCACCTCTCCCTATCCCCTGGCATCTAATAATTTACTCTATAGATTTGTCTATTCTGGGTATTCCATATCATCAGACTCCTATAATATGGAGCATTTGGTGCCTGGCTTCTTTTACTTAGCATGACATTTTCAAGGTTCATCCATGTTGTAGCACATATCAGTACCTCATTTCTTATGGCTGAATTTGGATATACCACCTTCTTCAACTGATGGGCATTTGTGTCATTTCTACTTTTTGGCTGTTATGAAAAATACTTCTGTAATTTGTAAAGAAGTTTTTGTGTGAATATATGTCCTCAGTTCTCTTGGGTGTATACCTACGAATGGAATTGCTAGGTCATGTGTAACTCTCCACTGAGCCTTTTGAAGAACTGCCAAACTTTTCCACAGCAGCCACATCATCTTACATCCCCACCAGCAATACATAGGGTCTCAGTTGTGGTTTTGATACAGATTTCCCTAATGATAAATGAGGTTGAGCTTTTTTTATGTGCTTCTTGGCCATTAGTTTGTTTGGTTTTTTGTTTGTTTGAGAAATATCTTCATATCCTTTGCCCATTTTATGATTGGGCTGTCTTTTTATTATTGAGTTGTAAGAAATCTTTATGTATTCTGGATACTAGATACTTATTAAATACTGTATATGATTTGCCAATATTTTCTCCCATTCTATGAGTTGCCTTTTTATTTTCTTGAGAGTGTGTGTCCTTTAATGCACAAAAGATTTGAATTTTTTAAGTTTCTTTATTTATTTTGAAAGAGAGAGCTGGGCAGGGACAGAGAGAGAGGGAGACAGGTGAATCCCAGGCAGGCTCTGCACTGACAGCACAGAGCCCGACATGGGACTCGAACTCAATCGTGACCTGAGCTGAAGTTGGATGCTTAACCAACTAAGCCATCCAGGTGCCCTCAAAGGTTTTAATTCTGATAAACTTCAATTTATTTATTTTTGTTGCTTGTGCTCTTGGTGTCATATTTGAGAAACAGTTGCCTAATCCAAGATCTTGAAGATTTACACTTATGTTTCTTGCCAACAGTTTGTATACTTTTCTCTCTTACATTAGCCCTTTTACCTATTTTAGGCTCATTTTCATATATGGTATGGCACAGGAGTCCAAATTCATTATTTTGCATGTGGAAATACAGTTTTCCCAAAACCATTTATTGAAAAGACTCTTCTTCATTTATTGGCCTTGCCATCCTTGGCAAAAATCAGTTGACCATAGATGTCTGGGTTTATTTCCAGAATCTTTATTCTGTTGTATCGATTTATATGTCTGTCCTTCTGCCAGTACCGTCACTGTTTTGATGTAGCTTTGAATTAAATTTTAAAACCAGGAAGTGTGAGTCCTCCAAATTTGTTCTTCTTTTTCAAGACTGTTTGGCTATTCTGGATCTCTTGCATTCCCACAAAAATTTTAGGTTCAGATTGTCCATTTTTCCAAAAGAAGCAGTTGAAATTTTGATAGGGATTACACTAAATGTATAAAGCAATTGAGAAATATTGCTATCTCAATATTACATCTTCTAATCCTTGGACACAGGATATCTTTCTCTTTATCTAAGTTTTTTATTTCAACAGTGTTTTAACAAGTTGTTTAACAAAGTTTCAACAAGTCTTGTCCTTTGTTTAAGTTTCTCTTTTTAGTGATCTCTTTGCTCAATGTGGGACTCCAACCCATGACCCCAACATCAAGAGTTGCACACTCTTCTCACTAAGCCAGCCAGATGCCCCAAGTCTTGTACTTCTTTTCTTAATTTTATTCTAAGTATTTTATTGTTTTTAATGCTATTGTAAATGAATTGTCCTTTTAATTATATTTTTTTATTGTCCACTGCTAGCATACAGTGAACACTACACTGATTTTTGCATATTGATGTTGTATCCTACAACTTTGCTGAATTTGTCTATTAGTTCTAATGGGTTTTTTGGTATATTGATTCCTTAGGCATTTGTATATATAAGGTGATGTCATCTACAAATAGAGATTGTTTAATTTCTTTTTTTCTTTCTGGATGCTTTTTCTTTCTTTCTTACCTGATTGCCACAACTAGAACTTCCAGTGCACCTTTGTCTTTATTCTAAGGAGAAAGCTTTCAGTCATTCAGCATTAAGTATGATGATAGCCATGTGTTCTTTGTAGATGCCCTTATTCAGGTTGAGGAATTTCCTATCTTATGTGTGTTGAGTGGATTTTTTTGTTTTTTGTCGTGAAAGGATGTTGGATGTTGTCAAATGCTTTTTCTGCATCTACTTATATGATTATGTTCTTTTTTTATATATTCTATCAATATTACATTGACTGAGCCAACCTTACATTTCTAGGATAAATCCCACTTGGTCATGGCATATAATTCTGTTAATATCTACTGGATTTAGTATGCTCGTATTTTGTCAAGAATTTCTGCATCAGTGTTCATAAAGGATATTGATTTATAATCTTCTAATGTCCTTGTTTGTCTTTGGTGTCAGGGCAATACTGGCATCAAACAATAATTAGGAAGTATTCCACAACTTTTTTTTTTTTTTTTTTTTGGTACGGCTTGAGAAGGATTAATATTAATTCTTCTTTATAGTTAATAGGATTCACCAGTGAGGCCATCCAGTTCTGGGCTTTTCTGTGGCATAAGTTTTTTTTATTGTTGACTATATTCCCTATGCTGCACTTTTTTCATAACTAGAAGTGTGTACCCTTTAATTCCCTTCATCTTTTTGCCCATCCACCTCCCCTCTGGCAACTACCAGTTCTTCATATGTAAGAATCCGTGTTTTTGTTTGTTCATTTGTTTGGGTTTTTACATTACACATTTAAGTGAAATCATATGATATTTGTCTTTCTCTGACTTATTTCACTTAGCACATACCCTCTAGGTCACTAATGGCAAGGTCTCATTCTTTTTTATGGCTGAGTAATATTCTAGTCCGTATATACCACATCTTCTTTTTCCATTCATCTCTGGATGGACACTTAGGTTGCGTCCATATTTTGGCTATTATAAATAACGCTACAGTAAACATAACGGTGCATATATCTTTTTGAAATAGTGTTTTCATTTTCTTTGGGTAAATATTCAGTGGTGGAATCACTGGGTCATACGGTATTTCTACTTTAAGTTTTTTGAGAAACCTGCATACTGTTTTCCACAGTGGTTGCACCCATTTACATTCCCACCAACAGCACACGAGGGTTCCCTTTTCTTCACATCCTCACCAACACTTGTTATCTCTTTGTCTTTTTGATATTAACCATTCTGACAGGTGTGAGGTGATGTCTCATTGTGGTTTTCATTTGCATTTTCCTGAGGATAAGTGATGATGAGCATCTTTTCATATGTCTGTTCACCATCTGTAGGTCTTCTTTGGAAAAATGCCTGTTCAGGTCCTCTGCCTATTTTGTAATCAGATTGTTTAGCTTTGTGGTGTTGAGTTGTGTAAATTCTTTATATACTTTGGATATTAACCCCTTATCAGATCTATTATTTGCAATTATCTATTCCCATTCACTAGGTTGCCTTTTTGTTTTGTTGATTTTGATTTGGTTCCCTTTGCTATGTAAAACCTTTTTATTTGGTGTAGTCTCAGGTTTATTTTTGCTTTTGTTTCTCTTGCCTGAGGAGACATATCCATACATATGTTGCTAAGGCCGATATCCAGGAGATTACTGCCTGTTTTCTTTTAGGAGGCTTTATGGTCTCAGGTCTTACATTTAGGTCTTTAATCCACTTGAGTTTATTTTTGTGTATGATATAGGAAAGTAGTCCAGTTTCATTTTTTGCATGTCCCTGTCCATTTTTCCCGACACTGTCTATTGAAAAGACTGTCTTTTCCTCCATTTTTTTCCTTGCCTCCATAATTGACCAAATAAGCATGGCTTATTTCTTGGCTCTCTTTTCTGTTCCCTTGATCTAAGTATCTGTTTTTGTGTTGGTATCATACTGTTTTGATTACTATCGCTTTGTAGTATAACTTGAAATCTGGTATTATGATACTTCCAGCTTTGTTCTTCTTTCTCAAGATTGCATTGCCTATTTGAGGTGTTTTGTAGTCCATACAAATTTTAGGATTAGTTCTAGTTCTGTGAAAAATGCTATTAGTTTTTTGATAGGAATTACATTGGATCTGTTGATGGCTTTGAGTAATATGGGCTTTTTAACAGTATTAATTCTTCCAGTCCATGAGCTAGGTATATCTTTCCATGAGTTTGTGTCATCTTCAGTTTCTTTCATCACTGTCTTCTTGTGTTCAGGGTATAGATCTTTCACTTCCTTGATTCAGTTTATTCCTAAGCATTTGAATCTTTCTGGTACAGTTGTTTTCTTAATTTCTCTTTCTGCTGCTTTGTTATTAGTGTAGAGAAGCATAATATTTCTTATATTGAGTTCATATCCTGCGATTTTACTGCATTCATTTATCAGTTCTAATGGTGTTTTGGTGGGGTCTTTAGGGTTTTCTACATATAGTATCATATCGTCTGCAAATAGTGAGAGTTTTCCTTCTCCCTTACCAATATGGATGCCTTTTATTTCTTTTTCTAGTCTGATTGCTACAGCTGGGACGTTCAGTGCTATGTTGAATAAAAGTGATCAGAGTGGACATTTTTGTATTGTTCCCTATCTTAAAGGAAAAGCTTTCAGTTTTTCACCATTGGGTATGATGTTAGCTGTGGGTTTTTCATATATGGCCTTTATTATGTTGAGGTATATTCTCTCTGTTTACTTTGTTGAGAGTTTTGATCATCAATAGATATTGTATTTTGTCAAAAGCTTTTTCTACTGCTATTGAAATTATCATATGGTTCAGGACTTTTTTGATTACTGATGGAAGTTTTTTGATTACTGCTATAGTCTATTTGTTATAAATTTATTTAGATCTCTTATGACTTCTTCAATCTGTTTTTGTACTTTGTCTCTACTCTCGTGTTTATCATTTCCTTTCTCTGCTTTCTTTGGGTTTAGTTTGTTTCCTTTTTCCTAGCTTCTCAGTGTGGAAGTTTAGGTTATTGAGTTGAGATCTTTCTCCTGCATATGAGCTATATGCTCTTATTTCTTTGTATGTTTCAGAATTTTTTTGTTGAAACCTAGACATTTTGAATATTATAATGTGTCTACTCTAGAAATCAAATTCTATCTGTTACCTAAGGGTTTGTTGTGGCTACTCTTTGTAATTGTTTATTTGTTTGTTTTGATTATTTAGTGACCAGTCTGAACTAATTCTGTAGTCTCTGTTCTTTGTTATGTGTGGCCGTTGAAGTCTCTGCTCCTTTAGCTAAGTGATGAGCTAATGATTAGGCAGAGATTACTTAAATTCCTTGAACCAGAATATCTCCCAGTCTTTGTAGAGGACCTCTGAGTGTGTGCTGGGGCAGGTCTTCAGAGTCAACCAGGCAGTTTGCAACCCTGCCTTAGCAATCACTTACAGCTTGTGCAAAGCCTCAGGGTCAGCTGGGGGCCCTCTCCTGTCTTCCCTGACCCTGCACACAGCCCTGGGCGTGTGCATGGTCTTCCAAATTCCCAGGAGTATGTCTGAGATTTTTAAACCTTTAATCCCCACATCTCCTTCTCCAGCCTTTCCTCCCAAGGTTTTTGTTTAGTCTACTGTTTTTGCCCTGTTATCCATTGCCTCAGACAGCAACAACTAAAACATTTGCCTGTAAATGGCTTCCACAAATGGCTTCCCCCAAAAGTGCTTAACAACTTTAGCACTAGGTGCATTCCCTGTTTGGTGAGACAAAGACAAGCCTTTTGAGCCAGTCTTTCCAGGGAGCCACACAGACGAGACAAAATAAATAATTAAATGTATTTTCCTCCTTCTGGTACTATTACTGAAGACATAAGCTGTTATTTTCAAGACTACAGCTATGCTAAAGAACAGTGGGTGAAACTTGGGTAAGTTAGGATGCCACAGAGCTCACTATTCTTGCCAAGATCCAGCTGATTTTCTTGAATAAGTACTTTCTTGATTACTGCAAGCTTTTGGTTAGTTTTCAGAGTTCTAAAATAGTTGGTTCTAATAGGTTTTGCCTGTTTTTCTACCTGTTTTATAGATTGGGGAGACTTTCAGAGTTCCTTACTTCACCATTTTTGCTGACATCACTATTTTCTTTTTTAATTAGGATTTTGCTCTAATAGTTGAGTTCAATTTAAGGGATTGCAGTAGGGTTAGTTTTAAACATAAGGGAAATATTAGGAGATTTGTTGTATATTTAAAAGCTGTCAGACCTGTATCTGAAATGGGATATTTGTGCTTTATTATGTAATGTGCAGTCTTCTAAATGCTTCCTAAAACTTGGATTTAATTTTGGCCCTTGAGCAAATGTAGAGCCATCAAAATTCAGAGAGAAGTATAACACAGAAAAGAATCTAAAAATGGGGGGGGGGGTGGGCAATGGAAACCAAGCATTGATATGTAAATGAAGACATGTTTTTCAAATGTCTAACCCAGTACCTGTAGGAGGATATAATGATAGGAAAAAACATGCTTAGAGAAACTCAACTTACAGTGAGGGTGGAAGAGAATTGTAAGAGGAGGAAGAGAGGAAGGCCAATGCTGTGAGTAGGCTTTAAACCAGTGAGCCCAAATAAGACAACAGTGAACATCAAGTTAGTAACCTTGTTCATATCATTAGCATGGTGCTAGAGCCATTTTTTTTTAATGTAAAACTAAAATGCGATATTTCTTTACATACCCACACATATTTAAAGGGGCATGTATTTTAAAATTATATTCTGTCATTTTAAAACCAAATTATGTTGGTTCTTTTTGTTTGTCATTGTTATTGTTGTTGGTGGTGGTGGTGGTGTGTGTGTATGTGTGTGTGTGTGTGTGTGTGTGTGT